TATCTTAACAGTATAAAATCGCTGCAAATTCGTTTTATGAAATACCTTGTTAGCCCACAAACAAAACTTGCCTGTAAAGAAAATTATGAATAACTATTTGTTGTCTGTAAGGTGCTTCCTGTACATGAAAAGGTCAAGTACCTGTTGGTTCTAGAACAGTTCTATAACGACCAGTTTAAAGTACAAGTGCAAAATAGGTACAATACTAGAAGCGTTAGAGAGCGTAAACTCGCGCGACCACCAGTAAAAAATTACTATGGCAAAAGAACCAACAAGTATATGACCCCTATACTTTTCAATAATATCGATTGGCTGAGAGAAGATAATACTAGAATAAGTAAACAAACACTAAAAAATAAATTAAAAACTGTTTTCCTTAATGAAGTTGTCGCAAGATGTGAAAATATTAACTGATTTGTTGTTGTTTTAATATAACTTTTGACAATTACGTATATTAGACCTTATTATTTAGTAAAAGCTTTTACAATTTTTTTTTTTTTTTTTACTTCGCAAATATCCGCGTTATAAAATAAAATGATGTGTCTTACCTAGTATGAAGAAGCACCTCCCGCCCTCCCTCAATTGCGTGCACTATCCCCGTCACCACTAATCCCAGCACCGCTACTTCCAACACCACTACACTAGGCAAGACACACCACTGACGATAATACGACACGTGTTTCGCCTCTACACGAGGCATCCTCAGGTGATATAGACTCTACGGTGGCTAACCGCTAAGTTGACTTAGACATCATTTTATTTTATAACGCGGATATTTGCGAAGTAAAAATTTTTGTAAAAGCTTTTATATAATGGATTTCCGCAAATTAACGCCTGATTCTATTAATTATCTTATTATTTAGCTTTATTTTCATTAAATTGTATACTTACGTATTTGAACCAAATGTATAAAGGCAAGCGCTAATCCCGCCGACAAACTGTTACGCAGTTTGGTGGGTGTGAAAAATGTACTAAAGGTTTGGTCCAGAATAAATGAAAAATTTCAAAATTCAAAAAAATTTCAAAAACTTTTTCCGGTGGTTATTAAAAAGCTTGTGATATCTCCACTTAATTTTGGTTTTTCAGGAAGAAATATTTGTGGAAAGATATTCGATGCTTCCTTAAACCTGAAGTGTTTCTGTTTTTCATTTTTATTTCAACCTTTTTATGTTGGCATAATTTACACAAAGCAATTTGGGATGCATGAATTATGTCGAAAAACTCATCAAATTTGCTTTTAGGTCTTTTAGAACTATAACTCCAACTCTCACTACTCCAACTAGAACTATTCGACTCTTCGTCACTCATGGCAAATTGTAAACTTATCACTCCGAGAACAACAAGGATTAGAGTAAAAACAATTAATACATTAGACTCGAAGCAAAGCTCAATTGGGAATGACTGGAATTAAAATAAGTACTACTATTTGTAAGTACACCCCGAAAGACCGACAAAGGAAAGTTCAGCATTCTTTGATAAAAATAACGATTCTTCAGAAGATTAATAAAGTAGAGAGTAGAGAAGTAGAACAATTAATACATTAGACTCGAAGCAAAGCTCACACACACACACACACACGCACGCACGCACGCACGCACGCACCCACGCACGCACGCACGCACTCACGCACGCACGCACACACACACACACACACACACACACACACGGATATGACGTCACCCTGTCTTACACCTCTCTGCAATTGGATAGGTTTCGTACTCTGGTTCTGTACTCGGATAGCCATCGTAGCCCTACTGTACAAGCACTTCAACACTTCGATATACCGACAGTCAACTTGGCATCGCTGAAGGGACTGCAGCACCGCCCAAATTTCGACGGAATCAAAGCCTTTCTCATAGTCCACATACGCCAGACATAGTGGCAAATTGTACTCCTCGGACTTCTGTACAATTTGCCGAAGGGTATGTATGTGGTCTATGGTGCTAAAGCCTTTTCGGAAACCGGCTTGTTCGGGAGGCTGGAAGTCGTCAAGTCTTCGCGCGAGACGATTCGTAATGACTCTCGAAAACAGCACGTAGACGCGGCTCAGAAGGGAAATCGGTCTGTAGTTCTTCAAGAGAGCGTTGTCGCCTTTCTTGAAGAACAAGACCACCGCACTTCTGCTCCACGCCTCCGGTGTAATGCCACCATGGAGGACGGAATTAAAGAGCTTCTGAAGGACTTCAAGTACCGGTTTTCCACCCGCTTTCAGAAGCTCCGCTGTAATTCCATCCTCGCCTGGGGCCTTGCCGTTTTTAAGGTGCTGGAGAGCCATTCTAATCTCGCTCAGACTGACATCCGGGATATCATCGGAATAATGTCGGATAAGACTCGCTCTTGGATCGTTACTCACACTTGCGTGCGGCTCCAACGATGACGTGTACAGTTGCCCATAGAACCTCTCAATCTCACTCAAAATCTCAGATGCCCCGGAAACGATGCTACCACATTCTGTCTTCAGCTTTGACAGTTGGCGCTTTCTGGCAGACAGATCTCTGGCAAAGACTTTGGAGCCTTGGTTCCGCTCGATCGCTTCTTCAATACGAGCTGTATTGAATTTGCGTAAGTCCCGCCGCATGCATTTGGAGATCTGTCTGTTCAGTTGCCTGTATGCTGTTAAATCTGTTGAAGAATGTAGCTTCATCTCCCGTCTAACAGCCATGAGATTAAGAGTGTGGTCGGAGAGTTTTTGTGTTCTTCTGCGGCGGGTCTTGCAGAACTTAGCTCCGACCGCATGGACAGTTTCTACGAGCTTGTCATTCAAATCGTCCACTTCATTGCAGTCTTCTAGGCACTGAAAACGGTTTTGTAACTCGAGCTGAAAGGTTTCGGGACTTTGGATTAGAGCACGAGGGGGACGGAGCGTTGACTTCATTAGACGAGACCTCTCCAACTTAACGTTTAGGTTCAGTGTGCCTCTAACCATTCGGTGATCGCTGCCGGTTTTCACCTTCGCGATCACTGAGACATCACTGAACAGTTGTCGTCTGGTCGTCATAATGAAGTCAATCTCATTTTTTGTCGAACCGTCGGGGCTCGACCAGGTCCACTTCCTGTGGGGCCGCTTCTGGAAGAAAGAGTTTATCATAAAGACTCCCTCTTTCTCCATGAAGTCAGCCAACTGCTGGCCCCTTGGGTTCCGTTGCCCTATTCCAAATTTCCCTACTTTCAGATCACCGTTCTCTCTTGTGCCTAGTTTTGCATTGAAGTCTCCCATTAACACCGTATATTGGGTTTTGGAGGAATGCATGGCTCTAGAGATATCCTCATACATTTCCTCCACCTCCTGATCGGGGTGTGCCGAGGTTGGTGCGTAAACCTGTATGACCTTCAGCGAATACCGTTTGGTGATTCTGAGTATAAGGTACGCAACCCTCGTCGACACACTCTCAATCTTTACAACGTTGTTAACGAGAGACTTGTGGACGATAAATCCGACACCTCCTTGGGACAGATGGTCGCCCTCCCGGTAATAGAGCAAGTTGCCGGATTCGCGGATTACCGTGTCCTCCCCCTCTCTTCGGACAATCCTATAATATGCCAGCGTAACTTGTCTATCTCTTCTTCCAGCTCCACAATCTTCTCGTCAGTCCTCAGGGTGCGTGCGTTGTATGTTGCCAGGTCGAGTCGTCGTAGGTGGCAACCGAACCTCCACCGGAGATTCTTAGCACCCCCTGCCCCGCCGTTACCATGGTCGCCACCGTAGCCAGGAATAGCGGGGCCGCCGGGGACTGGGGGCCGTTTATTATTGTCATTGCTCATGGGGGGTATATTGCCATAGTTGCCACGCTTGGCGAGCGGGTTGGCAACCGCAGTTTTTTTATTGTTATTTTGGCTATTATCAGGAAGATGCTGCTGCCCATCTCCTGCCTGTTTTCCTTTGTCGCCTTTTACGACACCCACGGGAAGATATGGGGTAGTGGATATTCTTAACCGCCACTACACGGTTTAGGAAATATTACGTACACTTATTTCACAATCAGCACATATTATAGAGAATAAGTCGACAAAAACATCGGTAAATATTCAAAAAATAAAAGAGTGGAAGAATGTAACTAATAAGTAAGTACTTATCGCATTTGTTATGTGTACAAATTGGTACGGTATTGTTTATGTGATTTCGTATTATTTTTTTTAGATTTAATGAGATAACAGGTAAACGCCGATCAGATGGCGAATTGAAATTATCTTGGAAAAGAATGAAGTTGTGTGCTAAATCAAACTTATACACATATAGGAGGGAACAATCAAAGACCGGGGGTGGCGGAAAACCTCCATCACCTTCTCTTGAGGACTTGGAAATAATGTCCATTGCCCCTCACGACTTTATCGTTGAAGTTAATAATTATGATAGTGATGCAGTGGTAAATAAAATTACTTATATGTCTTACAAATTTAATTAAAATTAAAGAACTTTATTTTCCATTACTTTAGTATCTAGGTAGTGCTCTGAAATCTACTGTTAAAGCATACAATTTACAACCCAAAATTATTTTCCGAATATTCAAAATTTAATATACTTAGTAACAATTTACCATAAATTTCTTTATAATTAATTATATTCAAAATTGAAATGTCACAAATTCATATATAGTGGTCTATATAATATCATAACACATGTTACTAGATTATCTACACAGTCCGATTATAATTTTCTATTTTTGTCTATTAGGTATTATAATTAATAATTTATTATTTATTTATATTATTAATTAATTATTCTTTTGTCTTGGATCATAATAATATTTCTACAACATAGAAAATACCTGATTCAATAAAGGGCAAAATAGAGGTAATGACAGGAAAACATGTTAATAAATGTTTTAATGATTTATTTTAGGATCCAGTGACTGTGGCTACAACATCAAAAGAAGTATTTGCTGACCCTAAGCCTCGCCTTAATTCTGAAAAAACAGACACAGCTATAGTTAAAAATGTAGAAAATCCAGAACCCAATGTTGTATATGTGCAAGGTAAATAATACTGATTGAATATTTATTAAAAAGCAAAATATATTATTATTATAGTTACAATCATATGCACACAAGTTTGTAAATATTATACATGTTAATTTTCTAAAACTGTTATATTTATATTAATTTTTAGAGATAGATCTAACTACAGATACAGAAGAAAGTGCCAAAATGGTGAAAATAACCAACAATAAAACTGTTATTACTAGGGGTATAACAAAAATTAAAAACAGGAAAAATAGGTATGTTGAAAAAATTACATAGTCTGATACATTACATACTTTTTAAAATGTGAAAATTAGTATTTAAACACTGAAAATTGTTTCATGTTTTCAAATATTAAAAGCAAAGTTTAATATGAATTGATTTAAAAATAATTAAAAAATATTTCTTTAATTGGTGTACAAGGTTAAGTGCACTTTTATTACTCTAGAATACTTTGTAAATGTCTAAAATAAAAACATTCATTCAACACACAAAGTATTCCATTTCATTTTACAGAAGAGAAGATTTACACCAAACAATTGTAAAAAGTAACACAGATTTTAAAAAAAGACAACTGGAAATGATGGAAGAGGAACATAAATACAATATTAAAATAGCTAACCTAAAAATTAGAAAATTAGAGTTACAAATATCTTTATTAGAAAGTCAGAAAAACACAAGTTAAATAGCAGCTTAACGCTGCTGTGTTTATTATGGTGAGTGTATAGAACGAGAATAGAATAGAATGATTTTTATTAAATATAGATTATTACAGAATACTTATTGAAAGACATTTTTTATTTACCACTGGTTCGGAAAATATCTCAGCCCTGGGAAGAACTAGTAAGAAACCCAGCGGGACTTTTTTATAAACATATTTCTCTTAACAATAATTTTATTTGTACAATTTTTAAATGAATTTTAATACAACCACCATGGTGGCGATCACCTCAATTCCAGTATTTCCAATATTTTCATTTATGTATTCTTTGATATTATAATAACCTTTTTATAAAATTTTTCTTTAATAAAACATTTAAACTTGTTTATTGACAAATTTTGGATAAATTTTGTACAAATTTTGTACGAGAGAGACCTCTTTTACAGGAAACGAGGCATTCCATCTTACTCCACACGGGTGACAACGCATCTGCATTTTGATTTGTAGTCGAGGATAGATGTGGACGTCTTATGCACCACAGCAGTTACTTAACATCAGATGGACTGTGTGTGTGTGTGTGTGTGTGTGTGTGTGTGTGTGTGTGGTAGACTGTGTTTATCACCATTATCCTATAAAAAAAAAACTAAATATTTGAGACTATATCAGATACATGTTTGTATATATCCTCATATATGAAACTATTATTTTCAGGTACTTAATTGCTGCAAATATTTGTACATCTTTTATTAATAATTAAAATAAATAATTATAATTAATATGCATTTTATTTACATAACAATGAAATATAATATACAAAAGTAAAAAACTATAATAAAAAAAACTAAACCTAATTAATTAGTCATCATACAGTCCTACTCCCTGTGGACCTGTGCACTTCTGGAAAGGAAATCCGGCTGTGAATGTAGAGGAGGGACGATATTTATTAAAAAAATCTAAACATATCTCTACAGCACTTAAGTCTTTATATAATATAGCTTCATATTGATGTGGAATGTGCTGTACCCCGCATCTTTCCCTGAAACACAATTATTTATAGCCTAAATAAAAGCATTTTGCTCAATAAATGAAATATTATCACAATACTCCCCTGAATTTATTTCATATTGGTGAATATGTAGTCGTTATTCTTTGACAGCTGACAACGGCTCTGCAGAAATATTTTCCTTTATAAATGGGTATTATGTCTGAAATCAAAAAGAAATATTATTATAATAGTCTTATACATTTATTGATCTTTAATGTAATTTTATAGCCAAAATTGGCCTCTGAATAACAAAATAAAATAAATTATATATAATTCAAGTCAATTGCGCCAATTACTGTAGGAAAATTAGCAATACTGCGAAATTTCCTAATGGTTTCCTGCTGTTCATTTAAAGTAGTAGGCATTTTAATAAATTCTCGGGACTTCCGTGACAAAATTTCCACTACTTTTTTACATGTCCTACTGACTACTGGTTGAGACACACCATGTAAATCAGCTGTATCGTCTTGAATCTACGAATAAAACCATAATATGTATTTTTTGGCTTTTTATCTAGCGTAATGTGAGGTACATTGACCCCACCAAGATTATAAACAGCACTTACTTCATGGCGAGCCCAGTTGCGTAATGCACAAACCACTTGAATTTCAGGACTCAATGGGCATCCTCGAGGGTCGTGCACTAAATCCTCACGTAAGATACCCACTATTTTTTCTCCGAAACGTTTTGAGAACCTATACTTATACCTAAAATCTTCGTCACTCAATTCAAACGGATTCACACGATGTCGATGTCTATCAGGTCGCCGAGTGGTCTCCAGCATGTCCAAATCTTCTAAATCCATCAAGTCAATCATGTTAATATCCATTTTTAACGATTTTAATAACACCAAATGAAAACAACGCTCACCTCAAATTAAGAAGTACCGAAATTGAGGTTAGTAACTAGTATAGAGTACCACAAACTATATAGAAAGGTTAGTACCATAGCTAAACTAGGGGTCTCAAAAGTTTAACTTTAATACCATAGATAATCCTTGAACCAAAGATAATCTTCGTTTCGGTCGACATACTGGGGAAGATATTGCAACGATTTTCCACGAATGTTTATTGGAATATGACATAATTGATAAAATACAGGGTATCACGGTCGACAACGCAACTGCAAATACCAAATTTATGCATGAATTGGACAAACAGCTGCCACATTTTAATTCAGACAATCAACATTTCCGGTGCTTTGCTCACATTTTGAACCTTGGTGTATAAGTCACCGAATTGAATGATTTTCAAATCACAGATAGTGAATGGCAAATACTCGAAAAAATACATAAGTTTCTAATAAACTTTAAACTTCTATCAACGAAACTGGTGGAGAAAAATATGTTACATTACCGCTAGTCATTGTATCATTCAATCTCTTGCTCGATAAAATTGAATCCATGGTAAAACAATTCGATGAGAAACCTAATCGATCCGAAGTGGATGAAAGGCTCATTCTGGGTTTTCAAGCAGCTGAAGACAAAATGCTTAAACATTATAAAAAGAGCAACTGGATTTATTGTACCTCTTCAATTTTAGACCCAAGGCATAAAACTCAGACTTTTGAAATGACATTATGGGAAAGCAGATTATAAGAGAAAGCCTGCGCAAATTTAATGAACTTTATAAAGAATATAAAAGTCTACACTCAGTGAATACATCTCTAGAATCACCAAGAAATGAAAAGAAAGTATGTGAATATGATGAAGATGAAGACGTAATAGACTTAGAGAAACTGTATGCATGTTCCTCGACGTCATCTGGATCTGGATCTTTTCATCAAGGCTTAGTTATAGACGAGTTGGAGGAGTACCTAAGTAAACCCAGAGCCGCCAGTTCGGAAGACATTTTAGAGTGGTGGAGGACGCATGAGACAGAATATCCGACTTTATCGAAGATGGCCCGTGATTTTCTTTCAATACCTGTAACTTCAGTACCTGCTGAGAGATTATTTTCCAAAGCATCATTAGTAATTAGAAAACATAGAAATAGGTTAAGTGATGAGTCAGCCAGATGGTTACTTTGTATTAATTCTTGGTCAAAAGAATTAATATAAAGTAACAGTAATGTCAAAGCTGTTGTGTACTGTTATGTAATTTAATTTGTATTGTATTTTATTTTTTTATTTAAATAAATGGTAAATTGTATAACTCTTTTATTCCATTTCATATAAGGGTCTATCAATCTCTTTCTAGACAGATAATGTTCTTTATAATACAGTCAAGTTAATGTCATTAATTTGTTTTTTATATGTTTTGACTAAGTTTTAGCACATGTAAGCTTATTAAATGTAAACGTTTATTAAGAAACAGACTAACTCCCGTGGCCGTGAGACATGGTAGACAGCTCAGTTGGTTAGAGCATCGGCACGGGTCGCTTAGGTCGTGGGTTCAAACCCCACCCGGTATTAGTTGATTTTTCGAATTTCTCATTAAATGTTTACACATTTATTAATTTGGTTGGTCTTTCTATGGCTATGTTAATTCAAGCTCAAAATGTGCCTACTGTGTTAAGTTGTTCTAAGATCTAAAGTAACGTTTAATAAATAGCAATAGGCTTGCGAGACTTGCGAGACTCTTGCTGCAAGACCAAGACCAATAACAAGACTGAGAGCGCAATACCAAGACCAGGTGTATTGGCGCAAGACCAAGACCAAGACTAGCTAAGTCTCGTCTTGTTCTTGCATTTGGGCAACACTAATTATTACGAATCTTTTGTATGGGAATATAGAAGTGTTGTTTTTAGACTTTTTCAGGTAATTTTTTAAATTTTTCTCTCCGTAAGAACCATCTTCGTACTTCAAGGAATATTATAAAAAAAGAATTAGCGAAATCGTTTCAGCTGCTCTCGAGATTTGCGTATTAAAGTTCAAATTGACTTTTAAGTATTATTCTAGTAATAATACTTAAAAGTGTTGCCCAAAATCGGTCTTGGTCCTGCAGTCTTGGTCTTGTTCTTGCATTTTTGCAAGACAAAGATCAAGAACAAGACCGCCTAATTTTAGCAAGACCAAGACCAAGACTGACCGTGCAAGATTTGAGCAAGAACAAGACTAAGCCTGCGAGACTCTTGCGTCTTGCAGTTAAGAATGAGTGTCGTTTCAGGGAGTATAGGAGTTCGGGTATACGCTTAGGGAGTCTATGAGACGCAAAAAATATATTAAAAAAATTTGGAAAATTGGACTTATGCGCATTACGAACAATACCATAAACATACATAGCGGATGAAAATATCCATTAAAAGAAAAAACATTGCATCCCTAGTTTTGACCATCGGCACTTTGATAGTGCGCGGCGTCTTGTTGTCGGCATCATCAAAGGTCGAATACTGACCTGTCAAAGAAATTTTGCAGCTATTCGGAAGTACAAGGTCAAGATACACGCGCCGGCGGCTTCTATTGATATCGCATTCAATCTAGTATTGCCCAAATGCAAGAACAAGACGAGACTTAGCCAGTCTTGGTCTTGGTCTTGCGCCAATACACCTGGTCTTGGTATTGAACTCTCAGTCTTGTTATTGTTCTTGGTCTTGCAGCAAGAGTCTCGCAAGTCTCGCAAGCCTATTGCTATTTATTAAACGTTACTTTAGATCTTAGAACAACTTAACACAGTAGGCACATTTTGAGCTTGAATTAACATATCCATAGAAAGACCAACCAAATTAATAAATGTGTAAACATTTAATGAGAAATTCGAAAAATCAACTAATACCGGGTGGGGTTTGAACCCACGACCTAAGCGATCCGTGCCGATGCTCTAACCAACTGAGCTGTCTACCATGTCTCACGGCCCCGGGAGTTAGTCTGTTTGTTAATAAACGTTTACATTTAATAAGCTTACATGTGCTAAAACTTAGTCAAAACATATAAAAAACAAATTAATGACATTAACTTGACTGTATTATAAAGAACATTATCTGTCTAGAAAGAGATTGATAGACCCTTATATGAAATGGAATAAAAGAGTTATACAATTTACCATTTATTTAAATAAATAAATAAATTACAATACAAATTAAATTACATAACACTACACAACAGCTTTGACATTACTGTTACTTTATATTAATTCTTTTGACCAAGAATTAATACAAAGTAACCATCTGGCTGACTCATCACTTAACCTATTTCTATGTTTTCTAATTACTAATGATGCTTTTTGTTTTTTTTTTTTTTTTTTTTAAACGTTACCCCCACACTAGGATTTTTTCCTGTGTCGTGGAGGCAGTTTACAAACATAAATTGCACAAGGACAAACATCCAGACCCGGAACAATTATATATAGGCCATACAAATACTTGTTCCGTGCGGGATTCGAACCCGCGGCCCCCAGTGCAACTGATTGCTAAGCCACTGCGCCACGGAGCCGTCTTTATCTTTTTTTTTTGTTCTTTTTTGTTTTTTTTTTAAAAAACGAAAAATAATCTCTCAGCAGGTACTGAAGTTGCAGGTATTGAAAGAAAATCACGGGCCATCTTCGATAAAGTCGGATATTCTGTCTCATGCGTCCTCCACCACTCTAAAATGTCTTCCGAACTGGCGGCTCTGGGTTTACTTAGGTACTCCTCCAACTCGTCTATAACTAAGCCTTGATGAAAAGATCCAGATCCAGATGACGTCGAATGACATGCATACAGTTTCTCTAAGTCTATTACGTCTTCATCTTCATCATATTCATATACTTTCTTTTCATTTCTTGGTGATTCTAGAGATGTATTCACTGAGTGTAGACTTTTATATTCTTTATAAAGTTCATTAAATTTGCGCAGGCTTTCTCTTTTAATCTGCTTCCCCATAATGTCATGTCAAAAGTCTGAGTTTTATGCCTTGGGTCTAAAATTGAAGAGGTACAATAAATCCAGTTGCTCTTTTTATAATGTTTAAGCATTTTGTCTCCAGCTGCTTGAAAACCCAGAATGAGCCTTTCATCCACTTCGGATCGATTAGGTTTCTCATCTAATTGTTTTACCATGGATTCAATTTTATCGAGCAAGAGATTGAATGATACAATGACTAGCGGTAATGTAACATATTTTTCTCCACCAGTTTCGTTGATAGAAGTTTAAAGTTTATTAGAAACTTATGTATTTTTTCGAGTATTTGCCATTCACTATCTGTGATTTGAAAATCATTCAATTCGGTGACAGAAGTGCACAATATGTTCATGCCAGTTCTCACTTTTAAACCAAATCCAACCATATCATGTGTGGAATTCCATCTCCAATCAACTGTAGCTGTCGTGATGTTGTCACTGCTATTTTCAGACTGAAATAAAACAGTAAATCATGTGTCTCGCCAATTATAAAAACAAATGCAAATATGAGTGAATTATAAATACATATTTAACACTATAATCATAACTAACTAACTATAATAAATATATATATATATATATATATATATATATATATATATATATATATATATATATATATATATATATATATATACAATATGTAACGTAATTAACGCACACCCTCAGACACCCCAATAAGTATATTATGTTATAATCATTATACATACACTGACTTTTTAATTAAACATGTTTATGCATTGATTATTTATTAAATTAGTTATACTAATTCCGGAACAATTTTGTGGTCACAATATAAATCCACGAACGCACGCAGTCGCTCACGTAGGTATAGGTTTACACAATTGTTTATGTTAAAAAAATATCTACCTATGATCACTAACTGATGTTCGTACTCCGACCATCGAGTTGTTTATTTAAGTCTAGTAAACATTTGATCGCATTTTTCAATCACACTTCAACCATTGGACTTTCGACTCTGAATAATTTTGTTTATTGATTATGATACAATGTCAATACGCAATATTCGTTACAAAATGTTATGAATTTGCATAACATTTGAATTGTAATTGTAAATAATAATAAACTGCTAAAACTAAGAGGCAATACGAAAACATAATTCAAAGACGGCGTGTTTAAAAGATGTGAATCAAGATTACAATAATTTTAAGAATCAAATATTTAACTTACTGATAGCCTAAACTCTCATGCAACGTTGTATTTTAATACATTTTCAAAATGTCCACCATGGCTACGTGGCGCAGTGGCTTAGCAATTGAGTTGCAGCGCTAAGGACCGCGGGTTCAAATCCAGCACGGAACAATATTTGTATGGCCTACAAATAATTGTTCCGGGTCTGGATGTTTGTCCTTGTGAAATTTATGTATGTACACTGCCCTCACAATACAAGAGAAAATCCTACTGTGGAGGTTACGTTTTAAAAAAGGAAAAGAAAGAAAATAATTTAGAAAGCAATTGAGTGTCACTATTCTAAAATCGTTCACTCATAGAATTAATATTTTAAGGTCCTCGGCACTTGTTGTCTCACTAAAATAAACTATTGATTTAATACGTATTAATATTTAATACGTGCGTAATCAGGTGATCTGGGAGGTCAATGGCCCGGCCGCCGCGACCTTTATAAGGTACTCCAAACTCTGTATTTGTAAAGACTTTAACATACTTGAAATAAGGTTCAATTTTCTTTATTTTGTATTGAATGACGGAATTTGTATTAATACAAATAACACTGCACTTTTAAAAGTCTTATTGCCTTGAGTTACGGTCCATTTCAGTTTGTATTGACTGTACAGGTTTAGTCTGACTTTAAATTACGTAGTTTCAATTATTTTTGGATAAAAAAATTACCTATATTAAAAATGATAGAAATCGATTCAGTAAACGATTTTTTTTTTATAGGAGAGGGGGCAAACGAGCATGCGGTTCACCTGATGGTAAGTGACTACCGCCGCCCATGAACAACTGCAATACCAGGGGAATCGCAGATGCGTTGCCGGCCTTTTAAAAAGGAGTACGCTCTTTTCTTGAAGGTCCCTAAGTCGTATCGGTCCGGAAAAATCGCTGATGGTAATCGATTCCACAAGGAGGTCGTGCGAGGAAGAAAACATCTTCTAAATCGCACAGTGGTGGACCGCCAATCATCCAGATGGTGTGGATGGTATCGGGAGTTCTGCCGCGATGTGCGTTCGTGAAATTTGGCGGCTGGGATTAATCCGAACAATTCCTCAGAGCACTCCCCATGGTAGATGCGAAAGAAAATGCAAAGGGATGCAACATCCCTTCGCAGTGCCAATGAATCGAGCCGATCGGAAAGGGCTCGGTCGTCGACGATTCGAGCAGCTCTGCGTTGGATGCGGTCAAGTGGAAGGAGCTGGCACTGGGGAGCCCCTGCCCAGAGATGGGAACAGTATTCCATGTGAGGCCGAACTTGCGCCTTGTAAAGTTGCAGGCGGTGTGCCGGCATGAAATACTGTCCCGCTCTGCTGAGCACGCCAAGCTTTTTAGAGGCCAATTTGGCCTTCCCTTCCAAGTGACCACGAAACTGCACGTCACTCGATATGTCGACTCCGAGGATACCGATACTGGCTGAGGCAAGAAGGGGAGTGCCTTGAAACTGAGGAGATACGACAAAGGGGTTCTTTTTAGCGGTAAACGCGCAAACTTGTAACTTCTGAGGATTAAACTGGACTAGATTTAGTCGCCCCCAATCCGAGACTTTGCTCAGCAAAGACTCGACTTCAGACACAAGTTTGTTCCGGTACTCAGCGACGTTTTCCCGAGAAATATTGGCACGGCCGGTGTATAGAGCATCACCAGTGCTGTCATCCGCATAGCAATGAATGTTACCAGTTAGCAACATATCATTGATATGCAGAAGAAACAGCATTGGTGATAGCACACAGCCTTGTGGAACACCAGCGTTAATAGGCTTGTAGTCAGAGCATGCACCGTCTACAACTACCTTGATGCTCTGATCTGCAAGGAAGCTGGTGATCCAATTGCACAATTTCTCGGGAAGCCCATAGGAAGGGAGCTTCGAAAGAAGCGCTTTGTGCCAAACCCGATCGAAGGCCTTCGCAATGTCCAGACTAACGGCCAACGCCTCCCCCTTGGACTCTACTGCCTCCGCCCATCTATGGGTCAGGTAGACCAGAAGATCACCAGCTGATCGACCCCGACGAAAACCGTATTGGCGGTCACTAATCAGCTGGTAATCCTCAAGGTACCGGATGAGCTGGCAGTAAATAATGGATTTCATTATTTTGGAGAACAAGGAGGTGATCGCGATAGGCCTATAGTTGGATGGATCTGAGCGGTCGCCTTTTTTAGGGATCGGGTGGACAAAAGCTGTCTTCCATGAATTCGGGACTACGCCTTGGGAGTAGGAGTACCGGAAAAGACGCGTTAGGACCGGTGCCAACTCCGGAGCACACGTCCTCAGCACAATTGGGGGGATTCCGTCAGGCCCACTCGACTTCTGGATGTCCAGGGAGAGCAGTGCTTTGCGAACCGAGCGCTGTGAGAACAGCACATCCGGCATGGAGCACTCACACCGCGGGATGGTCGGCGGTGTTTTCCCCCCGTCATCAAGAGTCGAGTTGGACGCAAAAAGGGAGCCTAAAAGGTCGGCTTTGTCTTTTGCGTCATGGGCCAGTGAGTCATTCTCCCTGTGCAGAGATGGTAGTGATGGCTTACAGAAATTCCCTTGGACAGCCTTGGCGAGAGACCAGAATGCACGGGTTCCCGAAGGAAGGCGAACTAGTTTCTCGCCAATTCTGCCTATGTGCTCTGACTTTGCCTTGGCAATAACTCTTTTGAAGGACCTGGAGGCGAAGTTATACTTCTTTTTAAGTGTGCTGGTGTTTACATCCCGAGTCGCCGAAGTCGCAGCCCAGGCTTGATAACACTCCTGCTTACTGCGTAATGCAGTCTTACAGGAGCGACCAAACCAAAGCTGAGATCTGCCTCCGATGGGTACCACAGATGATGGAATAAATAGTTCCATTCCCTGTAGCACCACATCAGTGACAGAGTCAGCAACAGCGCTGGGATCGTCCGGCGAGAAGCAAACCCGCCCCCATGGGTAGGATGCAAAGAAAGACCGCATTCCGTCCCAATCCGCCGACCTGTAATGCCAAACACGGCGGCAACCTGCAGAACGCAACCGCGAAGGGAGCGTGAGTGGCACCATACTCCGGATCAGACAATGGTCCGAAGAGCCGAGAGGGTCATCGACGGAAACCTGATATCCGTCCGGATGAGAGGTCAGCAGAAGGTCCAACAGGGAAGGTGTATGAACCTCCACATCTGGAATCCGCGTAGGCGAAGTAACCAGTTGTGTCAGACCATATGCCAAGGCAAAGTCATAAACAGATCTCCCCGCATGATCGGTTAGACGTGAACCGAGCCATTCGGCATGGTGGGCGTTAAAATCGCCAAGGATCACGATCTCTGCGGATGGGACCTGTTGTAGCAAGGAATCTGTAGCCATTTGGACGTGGTCGATGAGTCGGTCTGTTTCGGCATTACCGATATGGGACCTATAGAGGCACCCGTAGACGCGCGGATGGTCGTCGCTGTCTACGCGTAGCCAAAGGATGGACAGGTCCGAACCTTCAAGACTGCCGAGGCGTCGAGAACAGATATCCTCTCTGACATACACGCAAACTCCAGCCCGAGGCACAAAGTAATGCTGCAATTTGTACCCCTGGTAGGAGAGATACGAAATATCAGCCGAAGAGGAAACCTGCGTCTCGGTCAGAAAGAGCAAGGCCGGCTTCGCTGTCTCGAGATGGTAGTGGACGGCGTTTAGGTTAGAGTGAAGTCCCCTGATGTTGCAGAAATTCACGGACAGCGTGGCAGGGGTCGCCTTGGTGTTCTTGCTCAGTTTGCCCCTAGCAGTTATGCTTTTGAGCGGAATTTTGCCCCCCCCCCCCCCCCCCCCCAGAATACGCGGGGCAG